ACTAAGGGAAAGAAGGAAAAAAACCAGCTCAAAGGACTGCATATTGTATGACTCTAATAATATGACATTTTGGAAAAGCCAAAACGATGGAGATAGTAAAATGATCAATGATTGCCAGGATTGAAGGGCCTGGGATGAATAGGGGGAGCACAGAGAATTTTTAGGACACTGAGATGGCTGTACAACACCAAGAGTGAACCTTAATGTGAAAGCTGTGGACTTCGGGTGCTAATGACTTCTCCCTGCAGGTTAATCGATTGTAATGCACTTACCACTTGGGGAGGGAGGGTGCTGGTAACTGGGAAAGCTATGTACATGGTGGGAGTAAGAGGCATATGGGGAATCCCCAGACTTTCCTACCAATTTTGCTGCAACTAAGTTTGCTCTAAAAAACAAAGTCTCAGGTGTGGAAGCGTGGCCGAGCGGTTTATGGCACTGGATTAAGACTTTAGTCTCTTTGGGGGAATGGGTTCAAATCCCACCACCTCCAGCTTCTTTTCATTTTTACTGTGGCCTGTGACTAGAAGTCTTTTTTTTTTTATGTTCAGTGTGAACAGTTCTTACATGCCCAGCCCACTTTCCCCCTGCTTGGACTTCTGTAAGCTATTGCTTTACTAGGGGTACGGCCATGTATTTCTTTGAGCTATAGCCGCCATCATGTTTTCTAAATTTTGATCCCTTCGCATACCTTGGAGAAGTGAATCTTCTCTCTCTTCTCTCTCTCTAATTTACTTTTAAAATAAATGATATTTTCCGATCTAAAATTATAAATAAATAAAATCTATTTTAAAAAATGTCAATGGAGGAAGGGTAAGTAGAAAAAGGAACTGAGGGGAGCTTCTGTGTGGTGCCAGTAATGTTCTCTTTTGAACTCTGTGTGTTCACTCTGTGTAAGACCATTAAAGTTTATTCTCATGAAAAACGAACAGTAGACATTCACTTCAGCCCCCAGGAATGGTTGTATTTGTGGCTGTGTCTGATTTCCATCAATAGCAATCAATTATGTTCATTTAGGCAAAAGAAGTGCCCTGAATGTGGGTTGGCATGGGAAATATTGTTTTGATTAGCATAGAGTAACATACCTTTTAACAGTCCTTAAGAAAATGTAGTGTAGATTTCACTTTAAACATTCAACATGAACATTTGTAATTTTAATTTTAATTTAATAAGCAATACAGGTTTTTTATTCTTATGTATTATAGAAAATATATGTGTGTACTTTCTAAGAAATAGCACAAGCCTGCAATAAAAATTAGTGAGCAGTAAGAAATAATAATTAAAATACAGTAATAATAGAGTATAAAGGAACACAGACAGTGCTAAATTGCATAATTTAGACACAAAACGATATTCTAATTTTATTCCACTCCTCCTCTCCTCCCACCCCCCAAAATAAATAAAATGAAGCAGACAGGAGCACTTATTATGATCAAGATAAATGTTAGAAATAAGTAGCACCTTTGGTCATCAAAATGATTGTCAACATTTCTAGGAAGTCTAAATGGAGCATTTCTGATTTTGTAAATAAAATTTATTAGCATGTACCATAAAATTTAGCTGCTGCATGTTTCAGCATTTGCATAGAATATTTGACTGATAAATTAAAAATAAAATCTCCAACACAGAGGCATAATTTTGAGTAAAGAAAACGCTACAGGTGTTTTCTATATCTTACTTTTAAAATTAGCCAGAGAATTCCTCGAATATACATTCAGCCTGCATCATGGAATACTGCAGTATTCTTTGAAATAATCTAGGTCCATTAGTTGATTTCAGTAAAGGAATTGTATGCCTGGCACTTTGCTAGGCATTTAAATTATTATTGTAGCTAAGATAGTATCCTTGTCCACAAGGAGCTCACAGTCTGGTAAGAAAGAGATGAATTTGAAAATATATTCAAAGCTGCAGGCTAACATGTACTCCCATAGAGGAATTCAACATTTGGCTTCAAATTTTTTATGAAGTGAAACTTATAAACTACAGCAACAGAGATTTTTCTAAAGCATTATGTTCATATGACATTGTAGCATAAATGATAGACAAGTGGTAATCATGACTCAGTAAACAAATTTGCTTAAAAATAAAGTAGCAACAATTGAACTGAACATACTTTAAAAATGATCAACAACATAATATATTCTTGACTTAAATACATCTACATTCTACTCAGTTAAAACAAAACATGTATTTGTATGAAGAAGCCAGTTCTTTCATTTTTGGTTAACTTTTTTACACATCTTGGTTACCAAGTTTAGAAGTTCTATATATATATATATATATACATAAAAATTTCAAAAATAAGTATTCCAAGATCACATCATATTCACTGTAAGTACATTCATCTGTAAGAGTGTCAAAAAAAAAAAAGAAGGTTCTATCTTATATTTTTAAACTTTGACAGGCATTTAAATGAATTTTTTTACCTTATCATCATTTTTTATTGAAATAGTATAGTCATGATTTAGATCATATAAAAATACCCGATCAGATCATATTAAGTGTCAAGTAAAACGACCCCTTTCTTTATTTCACTACCTTGGTAACCATAGTTGATAGACCATGTGGTGATATGATCATTTGTTCAGTGGTCATTAAGATATTTATAGAGCAAACAAGTCAATCATATTTAGATTTTTTTACTTAAAAATCATAAAAATACAGCCTAAGATATAATTTATATTTAAAAAATAATTCTACAGGTTAAACCCTAAATTGAATTCTTTAAAAAATTCTTGCAAAAATTAGCTAGATTTAGCTAAGGAATGTCTTACTTATATCTTATTAATAGCAAGCCATTATATTTAATTTTTATCTCAACAATCTCCTTTTTTATAGTTGCTGCAATTCAATAGTGGGATGGGAAAACATATTTGTTCCAAGAATACAAGTGATCGATAAAGTGATTTCAAAAATTCCTCAAAGATGGGGAATTATTTATTCTAGAAAACATTTAATTAACACACTGGTTTAAAATATTTAAGGGAAGCATTTTTACATAAAAAGCTTCAAAATATATGTCAGGTTTAGCAAATATCTGAAAAGATCTTGCTCTTTAACATGTCATATAGGAGTTGCTATAACTGACTCATATCTGATTAATTTCTCATCTCATTTGTGTGATCATGACAAAGAAGGGATCCTATCTGAGTTGATGCACTACATGGCTGCTGAGTCTTGCCTCCTGTCAGAATGACAATACAAACTTAGATAGGTGTCAGTTTGACTGAATCTCACCAAGCACATTACTGACTACAGCCGTGTCTGTGGTTCTCCCTAACCATGAAATGTTTTGTCGTGACATGCCATTGAATCCAAGCTTTCATAAAAATGTGGTAAATATCCTGATGAATTAAACAAACAAATATTGAGCTCAGATTACTGTTCTTACATGTTTACAATGCAAACTCCTAATGGCAACCACTCTTCCCCTTAATCAGGGATCTTTAATTTAGGGGTAATTTTAGTTTGTTTTCTGGAAGAGAACAAAAGGGAAAATCTAGAAAGAATATCTATCTAGATATAATGGGAATGGAAGTAGATGGTATCTCTAACATTAGCAAAAATAAAAGAAAGGAAGCTCATTATACTGTAGCCAGACATCTGTTGTGGATTTTAGTGTTGTTTAATTAGGTGAAATAACCATTTACAAAATAAGAATTTTTGAGATAGATCTTATTCTCATAATTTTATTAGCCCGTCTTCAGATGCTTAGATCCGGCAATATTGTAGAGGTGTTCCCCTCAAGATAGTACAATGACAATAATTTCTTGAATAGAATTTAATAATTTAACAAACTTACATTGTGCATTCCGTGCTCTAGCATTTTACTTTAGGAAACAAATAAGTAAATGCTGCTTCTAAAATAAAAATGATAATAATCAAGGAAGGAATTAATGGAATGTTGACACATTTTATGTGAACAAAACACTGGCATCTTTTTAATGATGTTGATATTGCTATAAAACATATATGTGCAAAATAATTAATTCTACTAGTTATTATTTCTAATTTATCCAGAATGATATACTATGACAATCAGCAAATATTCTTCAAATTAGGTGTGCAAACATAATTTTGCAAAGGAGGATTGGAAAATATATTCATTTGGGATATTTATCAAGTAGGGTTACATTTATCAAGTAGGGTTACAATACGTGTTGCTAGGAAAATACTTTGTTCACTCTATAAAGGTCATCATTATGAAGAGAATGATTTACATAGTGCAATGGAGCAAAAAATGTGTTCAGTCAAAAGACCTTCTATCTCCAACCCTGCAATTACTTAGAGGATTGATATAGATTTAGGCAAAGCCCTTAATCTTGCTAGTCTCATGTAAAAATGTGACTATCTAACAAAACTAACCTAGAATGTTGAGAAGATAAAATGAATTAATTAAATATGTCTTTTGATACATATAAACAATACAAAATACAAATCAAAATACAATTAGATCTAAGGCTCAGAAGAAAACATTTTCTCACATGTTCTATATCATTAAACCTATAAATATTAATACTTTTAGTTAGAAATGGCAAGTTGGTGGTAGACAAAGTCAATTGAACAGCATGTAGGAATTTGTACTCTAATGAACAATTGAGTCAAAGTCTAAATCAAAAAACATTTTAGATGCATATGAAAGCAAAAAAAAAAAAAAAAAGACAGAATAGAAGTCTTAGTCAAAAGAATAGGCTTTAAATTTTCATCCTAAAATTTATATGACCTAAAAATTCCATTATTTTGTTCTTCTGAAGAGAGGAACTTTTTACCAACTTGTTCTGTTCTATTAGAATGTTCGGTACCAGTGTTTTCACACAGTTTCTCTAGCTTATTTTGCTACATTTGTATTATAAACAAAGAAACAAAAAAATCTTGTTTTATTATGAAATATTTGCTGAAATACTAATACATTCATGATCATTGAATAATTGTTTACTGAAATACTTCGATGATTAACCAACTTATTAACAAATATATATGTTGACTAAAAAAACTGTATATCATGTAAATGGTGGAAGTGTAACGAAATCTGCCAAAGAAAGATTCCATACTAAAAAGTGCAGAATTAGATTTAAAATGCTAAAGAAGTTTACCTAGATATTATTAAAAACAAAGAAAGAACAACTTTTAAAAAGTAATCATAGAAATAGGCAGAGAGTAAAGTAGCAGGGAATTGGGATAGGAGAAATAATTTGGTCTAAAAATATTCCTATTTGCTCTACAAAAGTCAAAATCTCTTTTTGCAATATTAATTTTACTCTTAAGGGAAAGACTTTTAAAATTACCATTTTCAATACTACAGCAATTTTTTTTCATGGTCTGCACATAAATGAGTTAAAGTGAAGAAAAAGCAGTAGGGGAGAGAAGACTAAAATAAACCTGATTGTAGGGCCTTGTAAAGAGCTAAGATCTATAGTATGCAAGCAATTGCTAGTAAAAAAGAGAAAAATTAGAACTATAAACAATGATGTGAGCTCAGAAAATTATTCATTTTTAATTGTATCAACAAAGATAACTTATAATTTGATTATGCATTATAATTAATGACTGATAATTGAGTCTCTCAGCTTCAAACATGAGATTATGAATATGGATATACAGAAACCAAAATTTAAAAAAAAAAGAAAATGAGATGAATAATGTCAAGACTGTAATTTTAGTCTTTAATCTCAATAATTCTGATGCCCATTGGTGTTGTGAACAGGTGTGGTTAGGAATCTGCTTCGCATGATGTCTCAGTGATGTTACGGCATCAATGGAACCTTTGGAATAATACATAATGGTGCAATGTTGTCACAGCAAGCTTTGTTTCTCCAAGTTGTCAGGCACTTTAAGAAAATTAGAATCATTCAGAAAAGTAAGCGACAAGGAAGATCAGCTTTTCATGATTCTTTAAAATCACATTCAAGTATGTGTGTATGCAATCATAAATATATGCATCACGAATGGCTTTGTGGAGATTGCAGTGCCTTGGAAGGGCACCGTACAAACAGGTAGGAGCTACGTTCTACGGATGTCAAAAGTCCAGGGGGATGGAATTGGAAAAAGACTGGGGAAGACAAAAGCAGTGATGCTTGTTCTCTATAGAACAAATGGACAGGAAAATGAAAATACCGATGTTCAGAGAAACTTGAAAAATGAGGGAGAGTGGAATAGTTGCATTAACATAAATATACATTGTATAGGTAAATCAAATTATTTGTATCTCAGAGCCTTTGTTTGGTAACTTGGGATAATCCTATGAAGAGCATAATCACTAAATAAATAAATAGCATAACCACTAAAGTTCTACATACAATGTTCTACAGTAAGTACATTTTACTTTTTGAGTCATAATAAGTAGCAACCAATATGGGCATTACTTCTTCATAAAAAATATCATTTTCCTTCTAAATCAAACCTCAGGAAACACATATTAAGCCTGAGTTATATCACTATGTCATTATTTTTATAAGAAAAAGTCACCTTAAAGCAATTATGGCTATTTTATAATCATTAATATTATTTGAGATAAGTTGCATTGGGTAGAAAAGCAGACAATTTGAAATTATATATTCAGGTTATAGCATATGCAGTTTTCTCATAAATACTAGATAAATCATAGCACAAATTGTGGTTGAACCTAACTGGCTTACCACATAGGGTGTACCTTTTTGTACCTATATTTAATCTACTTTTGTTTCCGTAGCTTCTACCAGGAGGCAGTATGATAGTGGACACCCTAGGAGTTCTTTCTGCTTTTAGGTAAATCTGACTTTTAATTTAGGGTCATCACATACTACCTTTTTACTTTGGGTAATTCGCTGAGCTACTTTGTGCATTACTTTCACTCATCTATCGTATTAAGCTAATAACTTCTACTGTAGCTTTGGTTTGGATATTAAAAGGCATTATGTAACCAAAATGCATGACACATAAATATGAGTTTCCTCACCACATTGTATCCTTTCTCCCTACTAAATTCAGCTTAGCAATCATGATTTTTTAATTTTGTTTTATTAAAAGTCTGAACGTTCTATTTATGTGACGTGTTTCTTTTTTTAAAAAAAAGTTTTGAATGATAGTTTCAACCAACTGATCGCGGGTATCGCTACATATTTATGACATCTATATACAAAACTTTGATTTATATCAGGTATCTTTTGGTATTTCCTCTATGTTTTTGATTTTCATGTTGTACAGTCAGAGAAGAAAGCATGAAATATCTATAATTTTAAAGTGCACATTCAAACATATCAAACCTAATTCTCTTACTTATTTCCTAGTGTCCAGGTGATATTCATAAGCCCAAGGGTTAAGGTGGTGGTAACTTGGTATTAAAGAAGTGCTATTTGAGTTATATGAATTTATGCTGAGAAACATCGTGTCTTCCAAGGTGAAATACACTAAAACCTGATCCACTGTCTCTTGAAGGTGTGCTGGTTGGATCCAAAAGGATCAGAAAAGAGGGTGGGGATAGGTCAGGTCAAGTGCATACTCAATGCTCTATTCATAAACTAATGAATATTTAGGTTAAATATTTAAAGTTAAATAGTGAAAAATAAGGAGTGTTCAGTTAACACCAATGAAAAAAGTTACTCAAACTAGCCAGTGATCATGAGTGTTTTGGATATCTTGGTTTATGAGACCTTTCCTTCTGTACAATTTCATAATGGGAGAATAGGGCTTAGTGGAAATTTTAGTTGTACAGTCTAACTTTGCTACATGACGTTGTGAACACTTAAAATCTGTGGTTCCCTAGGGGAAGAAATAAGTTCAGTACTAACTGCTGCAGGCAACAGAAGCTAACTAGATTTCTTCCTCCACTTATGTGACTCTATAAGTAATGAAAATTCTAGGCTGATATTCAAAGGTCAAACTTTGTAAGATTCTGTTAAAACAACACATCTTCTAACACATTCGGGGAGCAGAGGTGCATAAGCGAGAATAATAATTACTATTAGCTGGGAACAATGCTGAATCCTGTATGTGTTTCAAGTCCCTGTTTCAAGCATGTTCTTGCATCATTTTCAACATTTATGTTTTAGAATGAATACCTGCACATTATTGTAAGCTGGTGTAGGTGTGACTATACACATCATATCATGTGCTTTGAGTGTGCAATTTTACTTCCCTTTCTTTTGCAATAATTTAATATAACCATGCTAGAAATAAAGAATGAACGAAAGCCGGGCTCGGTGGCTCAGCCTGTAAACCCGCACCTTTGGGAGGCTGAGGTGAGTGGATTGCCTGAGCCCGTGGGTTCGAGACCCTCCTGGGTAACTTGGCGAGACCGCATCTCTACAATAAATAAAAAATTAGCCGGGCGTGGTAGCGTGTGCCTGTAGTTCCAGCTACTTGGAAGGCTGAGGTGGAAGGATCGCTGGAGCCCAGCAGGTAGAGGCTGTGGTGGCCGGGAGTGGCCACTGCACTCCAGTCTGGGCGACAGAGTGAGACTCCAACTCAAAAAAAAAAAAAAGAATGAATGAAGACAACCGAAGGGTGGCTGAATCATGTGAACTGGTTTTGACTCGACAAGCACCTCATCAGTAAGTAAATAAACTGCCCACCTGACACGCGTCAACAGCCCCTTCCAGTAGGTGACGAAAAAGAGACAGTCTTAGGCCTAAAACCCTGGACTATTAAGTTGCTCTTCATTTCCACCTGTGGTCTGATATATATATTCGTTTAAATATGTGTATTCAGAGAATTCAAGACACTTTTTGGAAAGTGGAAACATTTCTTTGGAAATCTGCAATTGGAGAGGTGCTACACAATTTATGATGTTACATTTCTTACAACAAGCCGGAGTTGAATTATAAAGCACGGATAATATAAAAACAGCTACTTCAAGAATCAAGTCTGGGTAAAACTAAATTAAAAACAGCCCACAGAGTGCCACATTTTTCCTGATTTATTTGCCTATGCTATTGGCACATCTTATTTTACCTAATATTTGAAAAATACAAATACCTCTTCATAGGCAAAAAAAAGACTAATGTCAAATGAAAAAATTGAATTTTATATAGCTTCCCAAATATGAGCCACATGCTTCAACAGTGCAAACATCTTACAAATCAAATATTTAATGTTAACTACTACAAAAGCCTGGTATTCAGGTGCAGTCCCATAGGAAATAATAACACCTACCTTTACTGCAATAAAAAAAAAATGAATGGCAAACTCCCTTTGACATCTAAGAGTGACAGCACCTCAACCATCAAGTGCTAAATGTTTCTCATTAATCATAATGTCACACTTCAGATTTACAGATGTCAATATTTATAATTTTAGCCATAACATACAGTCTTTCTCTTGCTTAAAAGTACTTTCTCCACTCCAAATGGTATTTATAGCTTGGAAAGCCCAGAACTATCTTATGCCTCTGTATTCAAGAGATTCAGATTCCCAGACGATCCACATAGTTATGGAAATAAGGAAGTGCTGAATTAACCTGGGCTGCAATATTTCAAACTTTTTGCTATCCTGTCATAAACCATACTTACAATTCCAAGTCACACATCGCCTCCATTTCTAAAAGGCTTTCTTAACAGTTTCCTGGTTTAGTTCAAAGACAGCAGGAAGTCTAATCAGTAGAGTACTTGCTGGTCCTAGAATGTGAGGCATTTCCAGCGGCTGAATAAAAGGCCTGTTTGGTTTTTGCTCTTGTATTTGGTGGAAGAGAGGAGGGCTTAGAGGGCACCTCCCACTTTTAGTCAGTTGTTCTCAGATGGATTACTCAAAACAGGAACATCTGATCACTGCTGTGTTGGGAAAAATTAGAATTCAGTCTATTTATAAGCCTGTCAGCTAGGATTCTGGTTTGTTCTGCGCTGATATTTCAGTAGGACAGTGCATCTGGATCGAGGCCCAGTTAAAAGAAATCCCTAGTTATCACTTTCTGTACTATGAGCTAAAATCCTTTTAAAATCAATGGACATAGCTTACTGCTAGGACATAAATCAATGGGCATAGCTCACTGAATAATGATTATTCAAACTTTTAATCTGGTTTAAATATTAGGTAAAAGTTCTGAAAATTACTTGAGGGTTCTATTCTCTAGCACCAAGTACTAATGCTCCCCCATCAAAGAAATGTGCATGGATTCATCAAGTCTAAAAGTGCTCAGATAAAATGGTTCAAAATGAAGTTTTTGTCTCTTTTCTTTATCAAACTTATTTCATATATGTAAATGCTTTTTATAGCAGTCAGGTGTATTTATAGCTATCAGTTGAATTAAGATCACCCTCTTTTTCCATCCATATGATTATCTTTAAAATCTACATTGTAAAGTAGCTAACAGGTGTTTCTTTAGTCCCCTGCATCTTTTATCTTTAAATAATAAATTATTGTGATAATATTCTTTTTGAATTTGTTTTTTGCTCTCCAGACACTTTGTATATATGTGAGTATGTTTGTAACAGTGTATGTGTTTCAGGTAGGTGGGGGGAATTAATTTTTCCTCAATTCTATTTCATACTTTAATGTGAAATAAAAAATGAAGTGTGAAGATCATTTTATAGGGTTAAGCACAGTCCTTCTAGTTACTTAAACCAAGAGTGTGAGATCAGAAATCTCTGTATAACCGAGACTGACAGTCACTGGAAGACTTTAAAATTCATTTTTAACCACCACATCCAGAGTCAGGTATGGAAATAAACACATTGCATGGATTCTTTATATGCATAATCTCAAATTTTAACTCCCCAAATACGTTTTCAAAACTAATTTAAAATCTGCCTTTTAAATTAGTTGGAGGCAAGTCTCATCTCCATCTTTAATGGCGATTCCCCATTTCAGCTAAGAACATTTCCAATATTTTGAAAAACAGAAACAAAACCAAATGCTTAGGAAAACTGATAAATACCAAAATCAGAATTGTGCTTCTTCTTAAATATTAGTTTCTCTTTCTGAGGGAGTACTCTTTGTACTGGAAACTTTGACGTGAACATCTTCCAAAGGTTTAGATTTGCTCAGGGGTTCAGATTCGCTGGCCATCTTCCCTGCATCTGCCTTCTTCTTTTCCTTTGCGAGCAGTCTGTAGTTGATAGCATTTCCAATGAGTAACCACACACTTGCTAATACCACAATAGCCCCGCAGGCCATATACATGTATTTATATTCGCCAGTTACATCCACCAATTTACCTAAGAGACAAAGAACATCTTTTAAGGTAAAATCATAAAGCAATCATAAAATAATGAAAAGATTTTCATACAAATTCTTCCCCAGACGAGTGTATGCCTCTTATTTGAATTAATATCTAATGAGACTTTAACAAAGATAAAAATTTTCTAGATTATGACTACTATACAGCTCAGTGAAAATGTAAAAATTTTGTCAGGCTCTTACAACATTATAGTACCAGTATATTAAATGTATTGAAAATTATTTTTCTCAGTCAAAAATGTATCACACCAAGCCAAATTTGGTGTATATATGTGTGTGTTTTTATGTATACTCATAAATACAAACACGTGTGAGGTATATTTTTACATCTATGTCTGTAAAAATAGATATATTTATCAATTCACTTATAGCATGCATATTAATATTGCTTCATTCTTTCCATGCTTCTTTTCTTTTTTGATAAAAAGGGGAAAATTACTTTCTTTAAGAAAGATCCAAAGGTTCATATATAGTTCCTGACAGGGCCTAATATTTGCTAAATGTTTTCTCTGTGCCAGGCATTATGCTAAGCTCTTTATCTGTAATATCTCATTTGATCCTTACTAGAGCACTGTAAAGAAATTTGACCATAGTCACCTAGCCAACGTGGAGATAAGTTCTTGCTGTTTGCCAAATAGACACTTGTATATGCAGCTTTGAAAATATCTCGGATTTTAAAATCTAAAGGTAATCTTTAAAATTTATAAGTATAGAACATAAGCATCTTGTCCAAAAAAAACCCTTGAATGAATTTTCTTTGATCCCCACCTTCTCTCTCTCTATAGAGAATATACATGAATATATTCCTACAGTGACATTATAAATGTATTCTCTCCTTAGGCATGTAACAAGTCCCAATTAATAAAACCAATGAATTCAAATAAAAAAAGATAGATCCTGACCTTTTGGGAGCATTGTTTAACATTTTTGACTAATTTTAATATCAACTGAAGAGAGATCTGTTCATAATGATAAAAATAAAGTGATATTTTATATTTCTGACACATTTTTTAAGAGCAGAAAACAACCAATATGGATAAAAATCCCAAAAATGAAGATACCATTTATCAATGTTACTTAAGTTCTTAGGTTCAGAAGTCCGGACTCTGAAACAAATTTTGGTCTAAAATTGACTAGTGAAATTTTAAAATACATAATACAACCAAAAGCTAACATTCCCTCAGTCTTTCAGGCTGTTAGCATCATTATAAGCCACGTTAAAGAAATTATACAGAAAGTCTCTGCTAGTGGATATTAATTTTATGCTTTTCACCTTCCTTGATGCAAGACATTCTTACCGGCAAGAGGAGGGCCAAGAAGAACTGGTCCGCACTCCACAATGGTGACGAGTCCCACGGCACTGGAGAACCTTGGAGCGCCAACAAGGTCCATGAGAGTTTCAAAGAGGACACTGCTAACACTCCCAAACCCAAGGCCAAAAAACACAGCATATATCACCAGGCTTGTGTAGTCCTGTGCCAACGGACACAAGAGATGACATACCCCATTGAACATGATTGCAAGACTGAAGAAGTACTGGATTCGGGGTCGGATATGTTTGGAGTTTGCAATGAGCCCGACAGAAGGCCTAGCGAACATATCAACAAATGCCATAATTGACAGCAAGAAAGCTGCAGAATACTCGTCAATTCCCTGGTCTTTAGCGTATGGAGCCAAGAATATAATGGGGGCAAAAAAACCTAGGAACATAATGACGTTTCCAGACAGGTAGATCAGAAATCCTCTGTGCTTAAAAAGGGAAAAGTCTAAATACTTATTCACTTTCTCCCATACTGATTTCTTCTTTTTGATTTCCTTCAGAGTTGAATTTTCTTCTCTTAAGCCAGTCTGATTTTTAGATGTAGAAGCATGTTGTTTGGGTCCAAGGGGTCTCATGAGGCACCCAGCCACACAGGCGTTCAACAGTATACCTCCCAAAATCAAGAAGCTTCCCTTCCAGCCAAAAGTATTAAAGAGGTACTGATTGAAAGGAGCCAAAGAACTTAAGAAAACAGGACTTCCTGCCATGGCCAATCCATTTGCCACGGGCCGCTTTCTATAGAAGTATTTGCCAATAATTGTTAAGGCGGGTTGCAGGTTGAAAGCTAAACCCAAACCTAAAAATAACAAAAAGGGGGAGAAATACAAACACGTTATGCCACTCACATACATAAAATTGATTTAGATGAACTACTCCCCCCTCCCTTAGTCTAGGCATTACTTTTTATTATTTTAGGATCTAGAGAATTAAGAATTCTTCTACAGTTACTAATTTTCCTAAACTGAAACAGATCACAAAGTGGTTAAGTAACCTGGTTTTGTGATACACTCACAAAAGAAATGACTCTTCAAAAAGCATATTCAAGTGGGTAAGGCAGAACTAAAAATGCAACCGAAGGTAATAATTTTTGATTGGTATAAATACAAATGTAATTGCACATAAACAAAAAGATTATCATAACTGGACACTTGATATGACAAGTTCATATTCCTTTCATTTTAAATCACAGAAATAAAACCAAGAACCTCTATCAATGTATCAGTAGTCATTGAATAAGTTGAAAATAGGACAAATTTATAAGTTCTTAATTAAAATCATTTACTTCTACATAGAAATTCATCTTTTCCTCCTAAAACACATTTATATACATATATAGAGAGTAGATTTCTTCCTTGTAAGAGTGTAATTTTAAAATGTGAATCTTTTCAGAGAGGCGGGAATGTGAACATACCAAAATGGTTATAATTTGTAACACTCTTATGTCTCCCCACAGATATTTCTTTCAATACTATGCAAGTAATAAAAAAACAGTAATACATTTGTTGCATTAATTTCATTTTCCACATCCCTCACATTCCATATTGATTTTTTTTTTTTTTTTTGCTTGAAACATATATTTTTTTTTTGAGTTGGAGTCTTATTCAGTCGCCCAGACTGGAGTGCAGTGGTCGCTCCCGGCCACCGCAGCCTCGACCTGCCGGGCTCCGGCGATCCTTCCGCCTCAGCCTTCCGAGTAGCTGGAATTACAGGCGAGTGCTACCACGCCCGGCTGATTTTTTGATTTATTGTAGAGATGAGGTCTCACTGCCCAGATATTTTTAATTTAGGGACTAAAGCTAACTGTGTAGATGAGCCAAAGTTCCCACTGGCCAGGGAACTCCTTGACAGTGTTGAGTTTCAACTTTTGAGAAATGAACTGTTCCTAGTAGCTCACCAACGTACTGTTCAGCAATAGTAATGAATAAGGCCCTTTAAAAAGTACATCAAATTGATTTATATAAACTACCTTCCATAACCCCCTTCGCCTAGGCATTATTCAACATTATTTCAGGGCCTAGAGAATTAAGAATTCTTCTACAGTTACTAATTTTCTTAAACTGAAACAGACCACAAAGGTGGTTAAGTATCCAGGTTCTGAGATACACAGGCTTGGGTACTCCAACTCTTTAATGTAAACATTTTTTTTTTCATTTTCTTTTTTTTTTATTTTAAAGATTTGTGGTACAATTCAGGGCTAGGTAAACAAACACTGATTATGCAGGTACCCTTGTTGATGAGGTGTACCCCTTGCTCCCCTGGCAGTTTCCCTCCACTGCCAATCCTACTCCAACTCCCCTGGCAGTTTCCCACTACTGCCAATCCTTTTCTTATATTGTTATGGTCATTGTTCAAGGTCCACTGATTAGTGAGAACATATGGTACTCTGTTCTTTGTTTCTGTGATAGATCACTGATTATGATCGACTCTAAATCCATCCAAGTTGCTGCGAAGTCCTTATGTTTGTCCTTCTTTATGGCTGCATAATATTCAATATAAACAACTTCTATGAGTAGGAGTATCCCTAAAAGCTGACAAGAAGGAACCAAGAACACGCTTGTGGAGGGGAGCAGGATAGACAGCATGTTCTCTAACTCTACCTCAGACACACCTGTGAGACACACAGGATAAGTGTAATTCGATCCAACTTATAAATAATAAAACTGACCAGTCTATGGTCAAGTAGCTGTAAGTGGGAGAACCCAAACTAAAAGCCACATATTGTCTTTCAAAGTTCAGGTTTCCTTGCCTTATGTCATTTTCCTCATTCTGTCACCTGGAACTTTCGCCTTCAGATGTTAATTCACATTTCACTAAGAAATAGCTGCCATCTATGCCCATGCTGGGCTGGTAAAACATAAGACCTGAAATGGAGAGATCTGAGTCTGCCACAGCTAGGTAACTATTTTATAATACTGAGCAAAGCACTTAGACTCCATGAGCTCTGATTCACTCAACAAAAAATTTTGCCAAAACAAGAAAGTTCCATAACTGTAAGATGCTATGAAAATGGCATTGTGATTCTTATTATTTGCTAACATTTAATTGTAAATAGCAAGATGCCAGGTACTCTGTAAAATAGTATATATGTATTTTTTACATTAGTCATCCCAATAACTTCCTAAGAAAAAAGCTATTATTTACCCTATTTTATAGACAAAGTGACTGAGGCATAAGGATGTGAATGTACCCATGATCACACAGAGAACACTGACGAATCAGGTTTAGGAGCTAAGACCTGTCTGCTTCAGAAACCAAAGTAGAGTATTGACAGATAATGATTTAAGGTAAATCTTCAGAGATGTATTTCTAACTGACTCTGGAAGATCAAAGCCCTTGAGACCCAAAGAAGAAAAATTATAGGTTAGAATACCAATAGTGCTACTGATATCTGTAGTATAGCAAATACCAAAATCATCTTCTCCCTAATACATCTATTTGTAGGACCATCCCGACTTCTGTGGTCAAATGTGATCAGTATGTCTACACAAACAAAAGGGCATTCTCATTGCTCTAGGTTTAGGGATAAGAAGGTTTTCATTTTCATTGTCATAACGTGTTTTGCCAGATCAAAACAGGAGAGAGATGTGGATGAGGAGGGGGGATAAAGAGAAAGATTTTATCAATACTATTAGTGTAAGCTTTAACAATTCTGCTTTTTTCATCAGATTATATGAGTGTGAGGTTAGACTGATACAAAATCAATATAAAAGAGAAATATGTTCGCCTTGGAATCTAAGAGCATAAGAGAAAGATTCAGTTTCTTTATATAGTGAAGCCCAGTTTCACCTAAAACTTTGAGTGTAGACTTTTAAATGCAATTTTTCAGGCTAATAAAAAAGAATGCTTTCCTAATGTATATATTCAGGTGAGTTTGAGTCAGTAGACATGTGCATGAGAGACAATCATGATCCAGTGACAATATGCGATTTTAAAGGTTTTGGTTAGTGGCAAATGTGCCTCATTGAGCTTTCAAACCAAATTATTTGAGTAAGAAAAAGGAGAGACAAGGTAGAGAGCTCTACCACTAATCACAACACAGATAATAATAATTTTGCTATTGAAGTTAAACCAATGCATCCAGAAAATATCTTTTTGGCACCATTCTTAACATTATCACGAATGGTAAGTCAGATACTCTACATGGAAATAAATGATGAAAAATAAAGAAAAATGAAGCTATTTATTTATACCAAAAAGTCTGTGTCCACAATACCATCTTAATTGACTGAGGAGTGAAAAAGTAAAAACAAAGCAACAACTTAGGTGGATTTAGAGTCTATCATACTCAGTGATCTATCACAGAAACAAAGAACTGAGTACTACATGTTCTCACTCATAAGCGAACCTTGAACAGTTATAATCCTATAAGAAAGGTATTGGCAGTAGTGGGAAACTGCCAGGGGAGCAGGAGTGGGATTGGCAGTTGAGGAAAACAGCCAGAGAAAGGGGAGGCACACTTCATCAACAAGGGTACCTGCATAATGAACATTTGTATACCTAACCCTGAATTGTGCCCCACATCTTTAAAATTAAAAAATTAAAATTAAATAATTAGTTGATTAAACAACAAAATGAAGAAACAAAGCAAAAGCTGTTTTCTTTTTAACATTTATATGGAACATGTAACTTGTCTGGTCACTTTTGTTTTTTGAGTCGGAGTCTCATGGTCACCCAAGCTGGAGCACGGGGGCTTGCTCACAGCCACCTGCAGCCTCGAACTGCTGGGCTCCAGCTCTCCTCCCGCCTCAGCCTTCAAAGTAGCCAGAACTACAGGTACTCGTGCTAACACGACCGGCTAATGTTTTTTATTTAGTGTAGAGACAAGGTCTCACCAAGTTGCCCAGGCTGTTCTCGAACTCACAGACTCAGGTAATCCTCTCGCCTTGGCCTCCCAAAGTGCTGGGATTATAGGCTTGAGCCACTGTGCCTGGCCAACTTTTGCTTTTTCATATGTTAAAATGAAATGTTTGGTCATTCTTTAGCTGGATTTTCATGCACTAGATAAAATTACTTTACCCTAGCATCATTTATAAAAATTTATAAAAATTTAAAAGAAATTCTAAGAAAACAAGAAGAATTTCCTACTGCCAGTTCTTCTCTCCGAGCTTTGAAAACACAGAACTGTTAAGAAAAAGTATGATGAAAATAGAACATGGTCATTGCCTTACTAGACTCTGCTGTGGCCATATGCTCTTTGAACTGTAGATGTTGCCATGCTTCCGGATTTGGACCCCAGCTCTGCCTTGGGGAGGTGAATCTCCTTTCTCTCTCTCTCTCTCTCTCCTCTCTCTCTCTTCCTCTCTCTCTCTCTCCAATTTACTTTCTAAACAAACTATATTTTCTATTCTAAGAAAAAAAGAAAAGAAAAGAAAAGAAAGCATGACTTACCTGCAATGAATCCCATCGTGAGGTATAACTGCATCACACTGGTGCTGAAGGAAGCCAAGACCATCCCCAGGCAGCAAAACAAACCTCCCACCATCACCACTGGCCGGCTGCCATATTTATTCACCAGAACACTGCTGATAGGACCTACAGAAGAAAGAGTGGAGAGTAAGAAATACTCAGTTGCTGGGTCACTGACCCAGGCTTGAGCCACCACGCCCAGCCCCTTTATTCTCATTTATTTCCACATAGAGTATCTGACGTACCATTCATGATATTTTAAGAATGGTGCCAAAGAGATATTTTCTGAATGCACTGGTTTAATGTCAACAACAAAATTATTGTTATCAAAATTATCGTGTTGTGATTAGTGGTGGAACGCTCTACCTTGTCTCTTCTTTTTCTTACTCAAATAATTTGTTTTAAAAGCAAAAAAGCAAAAAGACCATGCAAAAAGACCTTGATTTTACTTATTAAAAAAATTGTGCTTTTGTTTTTACATGTTTAAACTTCAGTTGCTTTCACAGTACTCCCCGTTTGATGCAATACAGCTATCGAGACGGGGAAACGCAGCTCAAAACAGTTTCTGAACTCATCAGGTTTGATGCCTTTGAGTGCTTCTGCTGTTTTTTGTCTCACCTCTTCCACATGGGCAAAATGTTTCCCTTTGAGGACTTTTTTCATTTGGGGAAACAAACAAAAAAGTCACTCGGGGTGAGATTGTGTAAATAGGAAGGGTGGGGCACGGGGGTCATGGCATTTTGGGTCAAAAACTGCTAAACACTCGGTGCAATGTAGACAGGTAGGCTCGTAAATCACCCATCGTGAAATGGGCAAACATGATGAAAGAATCTAAAAAAAAAGTCACTGAAGCTAGACACAGCAGCTCACAACACCAGCTGGTACACTGATGGGTTCCTAGAATACTTACCTAACAGAGGAAGCTATACTACAGGGGTCCCATCCTCCAAAAAAACAATTTCTTTCTTTCGGGTCCTCCCTTGTATTTATCTTTAACATTTGTTAATTTTGAAAGTCGAGAGAGAGCACATTTTAATGAATGTATAAAAAGAAGCGTTCCTTTCTCATCTCATTGCATTCTGGCTTATGATACACGAGTTGAAACATTTCTCAAATAGCAGGTTAAGGCCAGAATAACTTTTACACGAGAAACAGAGACAATTCATCTAACACAGCAGATTGACAAAGACCTTCTCCCTTTGTTTACCTTGAGTCGGATTATTCAGCCAGAGCTTGAATGACCATCCATCTATCTGGCAAGGGCCTCCCAAAAAGGCAGGAACCTCTTAAGAAAATAAAGTGAGGGTGGATTGGCGTTGTGACTCACACCTGTAATCCCAATGTTTGAGGAGACTGAGGCAAAGGGTCCCTTGAGCCCAGGAGTTTGGAACCAGCCTGGGCAACATAAAGAGACCTAGTCTCTCCAAAATATCAAAAAAATTAGTTGGATGTAGCGGTGTGCGCCTGCAGTCCTCAGGTGAGGTGGAAGGGAGGCTTGAGCCTGGGAGGTCAAAGCCACAGTGAGCTGTGATTGTACCCAGCACTCCAGTCTGGGTGACAGAGTGAGACCCCGACTCAAAAAATAAAAAAGAAAATACAGTGAGCACAATTGGTAAGATCAAATACAATATCACCTAAACCCTATCACCTGGTTATTCCTCCCACTAAATGACCATGTTTAGGACATCTCTTGAAGTAAATATTAGAACTATGTCCAGACACCACGAACACACTCTGAGTTTGTGTTTAGAGGCTTGAAAGCAAGGAGAATCAAAAATAGATAAATATATGAAAAACAGTGTATAGCTCTGCTAAGGGTTTCTTTGGGCATTTTAGCATTGTCATTTCCAAGAAATCATGCCCAGGCATCAGGCATTGACTTCTTCTCACAAAGAATGTGTGTAATTCATCACTGATACGCACATGTACTCATGGCATGTTTTGTAGAGAACAATCAGTGCTACAAATAAAACTGGATTAGGTTTCACTGTGATTAGTTAAAAAGAAAAATTAAATACGATAATTTATATTAGCCAAAGGTCCAGGTCATCAAAAAGTGGCACAGATAGATTCAGATGTAACAGAGTTTAAGGCGAATCACTGCTTTCTATGCTCTTTATAAAACAAACTACTAGAAAAAGAATCATAAATGCAGTGAGATTTTATATGTTCCATTACAAGAGTGAAGCATTTTTCTTAAGTAGTAAATGTGTCAGCCCAAATAGTGGACAAGTTAGAAACCTACTGTCTGCTTCTGAGAGGACACTAATGTTTCTAACACAGGAAAAGAAATAAAAAAGTGAAATCTCATCAATTGATTGTTTAACAGAGAGTAATTCTTGTCCTGAGGATTCTCTCTGATTAAGTGAAGCTGTACTGAGTCATAAAGGGTTTAGATATTAAGAAGTTTTGTATATTATACCAGCAAACACAAGTATATTTTGCAGTAACTTCTATAATTATGGGTCATGTTCTCAAGCTACATGTGAATTTTTTAAGAAATACTGAAGACCAGTTATTCAAAATATATATATACTTGGTTTAATATTTGACGGGAGAATCCATATGCAATGCTACCAAAAGATTCAACTAACAATAAGAAAGCCATTGACCAATCGCTTCTCGTTTAATGTCTTTGTATTAGAGTAGCCCCCCTTATCCAAGATTTCACTCTCTGTGTTTCAGTTCAACAAAGGGCGGAAAACATTCCATGGAAAATTCCACAAATAAACAATCTGTACATTTTAAATTGTGCCCTCTTTTGAGTAGCATAATGAAATCTTGTGTCATCCTGACCCAGCCCTCTTGGGACGTGAATCACTTCTGGTTTTTTTCTTTGCTTTTTTTTTTTGGGTCAGAGTCTCACTCTATCACCCAGGCTGGAGTGCAGTGGCAAGATCACAGCTGCCGCAGCCTTGACCAGCTGGGTTCAGGAAATCCTTCCATCTCAGCCTTCCAAGTAACTGGAGCTACAGGCGCATGCCACTACACCCAGTTAATTTTTTGATTTATTGTAGAGATGAGGTCTCACCAAGTTGCCCAGGTTGGTCTCAAACCCCCGGGCTCAGGCAATCCGCTTGTCTCAATCATCAAATCAACAGGTCATAGGAAGAAAAAGGTGAGTGCAATACGGTGTCTTAAGGAGAGACCACATTTGCATAACTTTCATTACAATATATTATTATTGTTCCACTTTATTAGAGTTATTGCTGTTAATTTTTAATTTAATTTAGCCTATACATTAAACTTTTCCTAGGTACACACATATAGGAAAAATCATAGTGAATATAGGGTTCAGTATCCTCTGCAGTTTCAGGTATCCACTGGGGGTCTTGGAACACATTTCTCTTGGATAAATGGGGGACTACTGTATGTCCAAATATGAGTTTACTATGAAATTAATGCATCTCAATTTCCAGAGCCCTATGCTTTTATAATCTCCTTCCAAGGTCCAGGGAGGACCTAGAGATGTGTTCACGTGGTCATAGTTTAACAAAATTGAAAAGGTTGAGACACGTTTGTGCTTTTTTCTCAAATAATTTCTCCCAAATGGCATAATCGTTGGAGAGAATGAAACCTAGGTCTACTCCTGGAAATGCTGGTACTTTTTGGCTGCAATCTAAATAAAAGTTTCGAGTTTACACTTCGTTTAGTTTCACAAAGCCTATGTTTAGATTATTTTGTTCTTGAAACAGTGAAGTAATATTTTCAGTGTTCTTCCTAGCCACCAAGATCTGTGATTGATTTTTAAACTAACGTGATCCACAGCATTAGGAAAATTCCAGGATGCTCACAAGAATATATTTACTTTCTCTATGGTCATGGAGAACAGAGGCCATCTATTTCTGATCCACACATAAATCTCATTAGAAAAACATAATTGCTAGGTTTAAAATGTCATGCTAATATTAGTTACTAGTACAATTTAGGGAATAAAAGAGGTTGTGTTTATAAGAATGGACTTAAATTAATTCTATGGAAAGGACACAGTCTTTAATATTTGCATAATTTACTCTAAACACACTATTGCATTAATAGGTTTCTCAAAGTCTGAACAATGGGGGATTCTGAAAGAAATACTTTCCCCTAAATGTATCTCAAATTTTTTCCACAAAATATTTCCTATTGTGTTTTAAGCCCATAAATCACAAGGAAAATGTCTACATTCATTAATAAGACTGTGATTTTTCTTGGAGTATGAACAATTTTTTCCTAGTTCAGTAATCTGTTATGAAAACTTGGAACATAAATAAAAAGCTATTTGTAGTTTAAAAGGAAATTATAAAATTAAAAATGTCTAGCAAATTAGAACTCATGGATTTAACTATGTTCCTTTGTATCTCCAAATATTGTCAAGAGGTTTTAAGAAAAATATTCATTACTATGAAGTGAATATTACTCAATGAATAAGAAAATAGAGTACTATTTTTATGATTCCTGAATGTTTCTAATAATATACAAAGAATGGGTCTTGACAGACAGATGGGAAGCTAAGTAGGTAGGTAGAAAGATAGATTGATTTTAACTTAAGTACTATACCAGATATTTCTTTTACTTTATCATAAATACTATAAGATGTTTGCTTACTTTTATGATTCTGAAGAATAATAAATGTTCAAGGTAACAGTCTTGCTATCAAAATATTCAGAGTAGTAATCAAATAATAAATTGGTATAGGTCCAGTTTCAGCATGTACAGGCCATCTCTCAAATAGAAAAAAAAATCCATATAGAAGCCATAATAAAGTTAATGACTGACACCAAAATATTTTCCATATAAAATTATACAAGAGAGCAGACAGCCTTTACAAATGGCAACAAAACTCAAAAATGAAAAAAAAATACATTCATTAAAATAATGTTACTCCAAAGCTATCTGAGAAATGAAGATGTGTTTATTTGTCCCATATGGATGCCCAAGATCCAGTTAACTGTGAATTACAGACCCAGCTCAAAATAGAGAGACACAGAGATGTGCCTCTTATACTGTAACTATGATGGATAATTGTCACAGTTAAGAAATACGTTAAACTTGTAGAAATGCCAATCATATAAGCAGACAATAGTTTACACATTCTTCTCAAATATGCATTATGTCCTTATAAACTGGGTAATCATTAGTGACCC